TCTCTGGGAAAGTCGCCATTGGATCATCACCATGGCATCCGTGTACGTGTTTATGCCTCGCCCCGTCAAGGTTGGTCCACGCCCGCCGGATCAATAACGAATAATATAAACAACAATTACATAATTCATCCTATGACCCACGCAGGAGCCGTACACGAGTTTCTATGAAAGCAATAAACTATGCGGTGTCCCACCGCGCAAATAATTTATTACAAGCATTCACCAGCCCAAAAATTCCTTGACATGTCCAAGGCTTTAAAAACAACATACATTCAACATGAATTAAAATCCATACATACGGGCCACAATAGTTGGATTCGAAACACCTGCAAAAACTTAATGCAATTTCTAATCTACTATGCCGCTGCGTCCGTACGCACATAATTCATGTAGACAGGCAAAGTCCAAAATTCAAACTGTGCACGAGTTTGCATTAGCCTGGGCTCTGATACCAGTTGTTGGGTTCTGTTAGGAACGTCAAACAACATGCACAGCATTGAACTTTATCAAAATAAATCCTAACGCAGCGGAATCTATAGTTAGGATATGGACGTTTACCTTTTAAAATTTTTGCCGACTATGAGACGATGTAGAGTACCGTTGGTGAAGTTTGTATGAACACCACAACCTAATGGGCGGATAGGTTTGGCCTTTAGTTGATTATAATCAACTCGTCAAATAAATCACGAACAGACAGTGCGCGGGTCTCGGTCGTCGGGTTGCAGCGGACGTGCGCGTCGGGCGCGGACAGCGAACGTCTCGGTCGGATCGCGGACGGGCCTTGGCGAGGACGCGCGGGATGCAGGACTCCTACTCCTATGAAGACTGGCGCTGGGACGAGTGGGCGAACGCGGGCGTGGGCAGCAGGACTCCTGGGCGTGCGAAGAATGTGCGCGCGTGAACTGGCGCTCGCTGGGATCTCGCGATCGGCGACAGTGAGTAGCAGAGGCGAACGGGTGATGCGCGACTGCGTCCTGGGAACGATCGGTGATCACGATACTGCACGAATGGGCGTTGGGCCTTCGTGCGGTGGTGCAATGCGTCGCTGCTGGGAGCTGGGACGGCGACTGGCTAGGCGCGACTGCGGGTGGCGACTCGCGGTTGCGATCGACTGGTCACGGACGGCTTCCGGCGGCGATGGAATTTTCCGGCGGTTGTCGACAGCGGCGGACGACGGCGACAAGGTGATGATGATGACCGGAAAATATGGTTCTTAGAAAGCTCAATCAATTGTACCAAAAAGCCTTCTAATGGATTACCTAAACACCTATTTCGATTAAACTTGGTGGAGCGTTTAACCGGATCTCCCTAACTCTCGAACAAAGTAATTCTCACGTGTATGTAGATGAAAAAATCGGCCAACATCAACTTGTAGGAAAGTTTGGGACATGGTGTATATATAGGCTCCATTAGGGACCTTAAGGAGGTGCTAAATATGGGCTTATTCCATTAGGCCTAAGAATCCTAATTCTAATCCAATACTAACTCAATCTAGGAAGGAGATCTCCTACTAATCCATCTCTTCTAGAAGACTCCTAAGTCTCCTAACACTAGAGAAGATCCTTGTAGGAATTTCCTTTCCTAATTAAATTAATAATCATGGAATAGAATTAATCCCTAATTGAGGAAGCCTAATTTTACTCCAATTAATAATATAATGTAGGAAATATATTCCCTACTAATCTCCATCTTCTAGAAGACTCCCAAGTCTCCTAATCCCAAGAGAAGATTCTTGTAGGAA